GGGCAAGTCATCAAGACAGCCCAGTGCCCTGATGTCATCCCAGCTGCCACAAAGCTAGTCCAGGGTATACAGGAGGTGCAGGAAAAGGCAAAAGATTCCTTGGAGCGAGCGGCTGAATCAATGAAAAGGGCCTATGACAAGCATAAAGACAAAGCCATCGAATACCAAGTTGGCGATAAGGTATGGTTGGATTCTACCAACCTAAACCTTCCTCGACCTTCCAAAAAACTTGGAGATCGATGAGTAGGACCTTTCACCATTGTGGCCAAAAAAGGAGCCTCCACCTATGAACCACCTGTAGCTGCTACTTTGATGCATCAAACACTGTTAGTTGACAGTTAATTGTGATACATCAGGAGTGTCAGTTTACATCCAGCCCATATACAGTAATTCCATCAGGATGACAAAGTGGCTTAGTAAGCTTCCCAATCTGTGTCAATGATGGCATCATTAGAAAAGAGAGCAATTCCGAGAATTGAACCCGGGACCTCAAAAATAAATCTAATAATGTCACATGACTTTCTCGAGCAAGCATGCTAACCACTACACCATACTGGCATTACATATATATCTTTTCATCTCTATATATACCCTCTCTCCCTTAACATTTATGACCTTATATTGATGCCCTCCCTTTGCTCCGCTCTGGTGCGCTCTTTTGCCTTTTTAGGCTCCCCAAATCAGCCCATCAATTTTGGCTGGATCCAGTGGCAGTGCCACATTTTTAATACCCAACATAGGGGCTATTTTCCGGTCAAAATAGCTATTGGGCTATTCTCAGGCTACTGGCTGGGCCAGGGGATGGCACTATAATCTGTATAGACATAAACAACATAAAATAGAGCCCTCTAATGATACATAGGAGCCCTGGATAGTGGGATAAAAGGGTAATATAATGAAAATCGCATAAATATTCGCTTTTGGGGGCTGCTGCATGCAGTGGATCGGCTGGAGGACTTCACCAATCGATTCCCTGACCTTGAAAACACCCAAACGACCCCTCCACAGTACTTTTGGCACACTTTATTCCTGGAGATAAACGAAAATATTCGCTTTTTAGGGTGCAGCATGCTCCAGATCGCTTTGAAAACATTACCAGTCGATTCCTATGCTATAAAAACCTTAGAATACATCCTCCTTCGTAATATAGGTCCAGTATAATACAGTATAAAAGGGGGTATTAGGGGGCATACATCGCTTATTTTGTTTTTCGCACTTCGGATGGTCTGGGGAGCATCACCAATGGATTCCCTGATATTAAAAACCCCAAAACGACTCCATCCTTCATTTATAGGGTCTCAAAAACGACAGAAATAATGATATTACAGTTTAGGAGGAGCACATGTAATAAATCCTATTTCTGGGCTTCGGACCACTTCGGAGTTTTGTCTATTGTGTTTATTGACCTGAATAACACTCAAATGACCCCACAGGACAAAGGAAACCATCAGAAATACATGATAAAAAGAGTAATAGGGGGATGGAGGAGACATACCTTATATTTCGCATTTCTAATAGTTAGGGAGGATATTCTTGTTATATAACAGACTATATATATTGTACAATGGTGTGTACGAAGCCCCATGGATATCCGAAATGTATTGAATGAGATATGAGCAGATCATTCTGTAAAACAGGAGGAGCACATCCCATATTTCGATGTTCTGCTCATTCTATGGCCTGGGGACTATCAGAATCGGATTCCTTGACCCAAAGAACAGTAGGGCCACCTATCATCCATGGTATTCAGATGTTCAAACTCCGAAGTACAAGATGTTCTCTCATTTGTTACTTATATTGTCCTGTAGCTACATATGCCTGTATGTGTTATCTGGGTAAAATGGCTCCTATGGATGATAAGTGCCTCTACTGTTCTTTGGGTCAAGGAATCCGATTCTGATAGTCCCCAGGCCATAGAATGAGCAGAACATCGAAATATGGGATGTGCTCCTCCTGTTTTACAGAATGATCTGCTCATATCTCATTCAATACATTTCGGATATCCATGGGGCTTCGTACACACCATTGTACAATATATATAGTCTGTTATATAACAAGAATATCCTCCCTAACTATTAGAAATGCGAAATATAAGGTATGTCTCCTCCATCCCCCTATTACTCTTTTTATCATGTATTTCTGATGGTTTCCTTTGTCCTGTGGGGTCATTTGAGTGTTATTCAGGTCAATAAACACAATAGACAAAACTCCGAAGTGGTCCGAAGCCCAGAAATAGGATTTATTACATGTGCTCCTCCTAAACTGTAATATCATTATTTCTGTCGTTTTTGAGACCCTATAAATGAAGGATGGAGTCGTTTTGGGGTTTTTAATATCAGGGAATCCATTGGTGATGCTCCCCAGACCATCCGAAGTGCGAAAAACAAAATAAGCGATGTATGCCCCCTAATACCCCCTTTTATACTGTATTATACTGGACCTATATTACGAAGGAGGATGTATTCTAAGGTTTTTATAGCATAGGAATCGACTGGTAATGTTTTCAAAGCGATCTGGAGCATGCTGCACCCTAAAAAGCGAATATTTTCGTTTATCTCCAGGAATAAAGTGTGCCAAAAGTACTGTGGAGGGGTCGTTTGGGTGTTTTCAAGGTCAGGGAATCGATTGGTGAAGTCCTCCAGCCGATCCACTGCATGCAGCAGCCCCCAAAAGCGAATATTTATGCGATTTTCATTATATTACCCTTTTATCCCACTATCCAGGGCTCCTATGTATCATTAGAGGGCTCTATTTTATGTTGTTTATGTCTATACAGATTATAGTGCCATCCCCTGGCCCAGCCAGTAGCCTGAGAATAGCCCAATAGCTATTTTGACCGGAAAATAGCCCCTATGTTGGGTATTAAAAATGTGGCACTGCCACTGGATCCAGCCAAAATTGATGGGCTGATTTGGGGAGCCTAAAAAGGCAAAAGAGCGCACCAGAGCGGAGCAAAGGGAGGGCATCAATATAAGGTCATAAATGTTAAGGGAGGGAGGGTATATATAGAGATGAAAAGATATATATGTAATGCCAGTATGGTGTAGTGGTTAGCATGCTTGCTCGAGAAAGTCATGTGACATTATTAGATTTATTTTTGAGGTCCCGGGTTCAATTCTCGGAATTGCTCTCTTTTCTAATGATGCCATCATTGACACAGATTGGGAAGCTTACTAAGCCACTTTGTCATCCTGATGGAATTACTGTATATGGGCTGGATGTAAACTGACACTCCTGATGTATCACAATTAACTGTCAACTAACAACTTTCAAACAGAAATCTAGCAGACCAGGCTGTATGAACTCAAGCTTCTAGTAGGATGGAAGATTCACAATCGATTCAATGAATCCCTTTTAACCCCATACCATGCCCCCGAATTCCCAAATCAACCTCGACCCGAAAGGCCACCCCCAGAGCTAATCGACGATGAGGAAGAGTACGAGATTGAGGAAATCGTGAAGCAATGAGACAAAGTTGTCAGGCATGGACGAACTCACCATACAATAACCGAATACCTGGTAAAGTGGAAAGGATACCCCAATGAAGAAAACTCCTGGGTGAAACGCTCAGACATGGCCAACGCAGAGCAGCTCGTAAATGACTACGAAGCTTGTATCCAAGAAATTTTATGGAAGGTCAATAATAAAGGAAAGACAGTTGGAATCGATAATAAGATACCACCCAATGGTCTGACCATTTACCACGAACCAGACACCCCATGTCTTACTGAAGTAATCACAGTTCCATCATCACAATGCTCAGCACAAGCGCACTCGGAGGAGGTTGACAGGATAGTCGAAGGAATGTCTATTAATTGGCATCCTGCCTTTAATCCTGAGCTGGAAAGGGACTTCATTGAAGGAAAATGGCCTAAAGTATCGACAGACAAAGCAGATGGAGTACTAAGGATAGAAGAAGATGATAGCGAGGAAGAGGTCAACCTCCAAAACTTACAACAAATCCACGAAAATTGGAACTCAGATGAAGAAGAGGATGATGACATACCATCGTTCTATTCCAAATCCAAACACTCAACTTTGGACGATGACGAATGGGAGTCTGAAGACTCATTCCAAATGAATGAGTCTTACGAAGAAAACTAGTCAAAACCAATGGCATAGAAGGGGATTACCGCCGCTCATTTATGAGCAATGAACCCTTAGGATCAGGGAGATCCGACAGACAGGGAGAGGCCATACCAGCGCAAGGTGGTCTTGGATATCCACAGATACTTAGATCCAGTTGAAGTAAGGGGTGAGGCCGAACATGGAAGGGGTGTAGCGGTACCCAAGCTGAACTGTTTTAAAGCAGAAGGGAGACCCTCTCACTCGACGTGAGGAAGGAAGGGGTTATATTCTCATTCGGGACGAATGAGTCTTAAGGAGGGGGTAATGTTACAATTTATCTATTTTTCTTCGTTTTACTCAGCCTGATTACTCATATGCGATCACCACGGACAGTTTCTCACAGTACTATTATTAGCATATCCAAGTGTATTTAAGTAGAGCCTCAGCTGGTCTGAACCCCAGCTTCGGCTAAGGTTTATTCTACCCAACTCAAACTCCCCGCTTCGCGACTACCTAAGTTCATGATTGACTTCTATAATCTCCTTTGACCTCTAAGAGTATTGTCCATTGAAGTGTGAGTGGCGATCCTTAGTTGATCTAAGTCGATTTAAGTTGGTTGTTAACAGGTATCCCCCCAGATAGTTAGGCAGTAGTGGTGGCGGTGGCCTCTTCAGAGGTTGCGGGGGTACTGTCGAACCCTTCCCTTTGTTGGGGTTAGAGGGTCCGGCCCCTTCGTCCTCCTCAAAACCTTGGTCTGTGCCTCCTCCACCGGCCCCATATGTACTGAGTGGGTGGGGCATTGGCGCCGGTCATTGATACGCGGCGCACCCCTGCTTCAGGAATTCCAGGTGACAGATATTCCAAACGATGGCAGCTCGGTGCCACGCATCAACTTCCAGGATATTCTTCATGAGGTATTCGTCGCTGAAAAGTCAGGCGTCTAAGTAATCTTCTCCTGCCTTGGAGAGGAGCCACTGTGGGTCAGACATCATGTCTTCCGCAATGACTTCGTACATGTTGTCCCAAGTGAGAAGGTTAAGGGTAGGGGGCACCACCGTAATCAGTTCAGTGAGCACCCTCTTGATGTCCCTCATCACCTCCTTCATTATCGTACTGAGGGGCGGCCTGTTTGGCATTGTAACGGGCAACCTCTTCGGCGCTCCACTGTCTGCTGGCTCTAAGGGCCCATGGCTCATTTGTTCGGGCTTCTTGTCACTGTCTCGCTTCGCGGGCCTGTCTCCTGTTGTACTCTGCGAGATCCGAGCAGTCCTCATCGAGCATCTTGAAGAGGAAGTCCTCAAGGATCTCCTCATGGTGCTCAAGGTTGTCTCCTGCCCTTCGGGATTCCTCCCGAAGTCGAAGCTCTGCTGTTCGGAACCTTTGGTTGGCCTCGCCGTCGGTGGCATCTGGCTCGAGGGGGAGATTGAAGGGGAGGTCTCGTATGGCACGGTGCTCTGCATTTCGGTTGCATGCGCTTGCCGTTCTTCCTCTGTCCATGATGGTCGTTCCTTCTGGGGTGAGCCAGGAAGCTCGAAGGTTGAAGTTGGAGACGACGAGCATGTTGTACTCATTGGTCCAAGGTCTCTGATTGATGGGCTGGGGGACCGCGAAGGCTCAGGGTGCGACTGATGGTGTAAAAGTGGGGATTCCGGGGAGTTCGTCGGTGGCGGAATCTCTTCTAAACCAACTGAGGATCTGCTCTCCTTCTGGTGTATCACCTGGATACTCAGTGATTTGTGCATCATTGGTAATGGTATCTCTTGTGTATATATTGGGGTGAGCATCCGGGGAGTACACTTCGATGACGTCCCAGATATGCTGCTCTGTTTTGGCGGGGAGGGCAATGGTCCTCTGGGTGGGGGTGTCCTTGGGCCCTGCGGTTTCGGTTGATACTCTGGCCACAGGAGTCTCTTCCCCTGCGAAGACCCAACTTGTTGAGGGGTGCCATGCCACAGGGATCCCTGGGTCCTCTCTTCTGCTGCCTGGCGCAATTCTACCATCATAGGGGTCTGTTCCACTTGGATGGGCGGTAGTTGCAGCAGAGGCCCCAAGGCCGAGCTCTCCACTATCTTCCTCAAAGTTGTCTCCATGGAAGTACTTTCTGGAAGTAGGGGTGACATTGACCCACCTGACTCTGGGATCGGTTGCATCTTCTTCTGACGGGTAGAGGTCGTTGAGGAGGTCTTGGAGACAGACCCTTTCGAGATCTGTGAGCTTGTCCCCTTCAAACTCGGTATCATCACTTTCTTCGCCCTGGTCCAGAGTCCCTCTTTCTTCTCCTCCAACGGGAGGGAGGTCGATGATTCCTGGTGGGGATACGTGGACATCTCCGAGTAAGTTGACGCCTCGTACATCTGTGATGTCGACAGAGGCTGCTCTTAGGGTTGGGGAAGACTCCCTGGAATCTGAGGATTCTCCTCTGGGTGTGATGGGTCGTCGGTTGCACTGGAATGTGCGGATAAGGGATGGTTGGATACGGGATCAGGAGATGGGGAATATAATGGAATGAGAGTCGTGCCCTTCGAGCGCAGGTGCAACACCTATAGACTGCCCTGATGGCGAGCACTAGGAGTGCCCCTGCAAGTAATCCAAAAGCTACTGCAACAGTTGGTAGCAGTTCAGCAAGTGGCATATGAGCGATCGAATGACAAGGATAGTGAGTACAATTAAGATAGCAATGATGAGGGAAAGGTCGGTAGTGTAAGTATCGAAATCAGTCATCCAAGGATGTAAACTGATTGCGACAGGGAATTCAGGTTGCATGGCGCTTATCACGACTAACCGTATGATGGCTATAATCGTGAGTAGCTGAAGGATAGAAGGATATGGTAGCAGGTTTTAATAGGTAGGTGGGTGCTTTTCCATTGGTCCACTCGTGATACGCTAACAGCCACGAGACTGTCCTCATGAACGTAAGGCGATGACCTCTTCTGGTCAAGCAGGGTATTCGTTTGTTGAGCTTGGCAAGGCATGCTGATCAATGTACAATGTCGATGGATAGCACACAATGCAAGTTTGGAAAAAAGCCTAGTTAAAAATCGTCGGGCAACACTTGTTCTCAGACATGGTGCTAGGCAACGTGTGTCGAGCTTCAGCTAAATGTCAACAACCAACTATTATCGACTTAGATCAACTGAGGATCGCCACTCGCACTTCAGTGGACGATACTCTCAGAGGTCAAAGGAGATAAAAGAGAATCGATTGAGGACTTAGATAGTCATGAAACAGAGAGCTTGGAGTTGGGTAGAGTAAACCTTAGCCGAAGCTGGGGTTTAGACCAGCTGAGGCTCTACTTAAATACATCGTTGGTATGCTAATAATAGTACTGTGGGAAACTGTCCGTTGTGATTGCATATACATAATTATGCTGAGTAAGACGAAGAAAAATGAATAATAAACTGTAACAGGTACATACACACTCATAATCATGGATCATTCCTATAATGCCAATGCTTGCACCAATTCATGGACAGGTTAGCTGGGGTAATCCTCCACAGTCAGGTCAGTGGAGGATGTATTCATGTATATTCTGAGACTGACTTTGGACCGAATAGGATATCTGCAGCTGTCATCTTGCTTTGTAAACTCGCTCACTTGTGAAGCCTGACATGCAATCATCTAGTGTATAACCTCAGCCGAATAGCTCCTGTACATTCATGTCAACATTGTGTTGGAGAAGCGGCTGTCAGCCACAATACATTCATGCTAATACACTCTGTTGAGACATATCACACCCAGTCTCACCATGTAGAACGTGTCATCCAAGAAAGACAGTCAATATATATGGAAGAGTATGCCTAAGAGAATTGTGTCCATGATATTGAAAAGCTGTAATTTGGGATGGGGCCAGATGGCTGGGCCGAGAGATATACCAACACAGACTGGAAGCTCCACATGAGATGATTACTGATACCATTCCTGACAAGCATGACACCGCCAATATCCACCAAAAGATATCTACCAACCGACCACTGTTTTGCCCCACAACTCTCTCATCTCGATACCAGATGCCTACCTCACTACACATTGGCTCGATGGTTGAGTCTGCCACATGTCTATATCCATTGCATCTGATCCCGACCTCGATTTAATTGGCACGTTGGTTGGAATATTGAAAGACAAGGAAGGGTGGGAAAGGTCTCTTCATTAAATGTTCTGCTGAAAGATGGCAGAAGAAAATAACTCTCGCTGAGCTGGGGAGAGAGGAGATTGAAGTGATCACGAGCCTGTAGACAAGATAAAGAGGTGTTGTTTTGGAAGGTGCTAACAATGCCGATGAGACTACTACCGATGGCCAGCATATCGGTGTTCCAAGTGTTGCCCAACATCATCAGCCTAACACTTCATAATTTCGTCTGGAATGATGATTTCTTTCCCCATTGACAATCTCTTCCAACCAATCGATAATTCTTCCAAAGATGCAAAATATCCATCTTGATTTGCTATTTTCTCATCTACAACCTCATACATGATCATGCTCCAAGTGCCTTCTTGACATGATTGAGTCGAGATGCACCGTTCCCAGTGGTGTTGTCAGGCTCAACACAGTATTTCTGAGACTAAATCAGTCCTTGTTTGATTCTGACAATTCTGGTGACTCAGGTGAAGGAGATCAGACAATGATCTATCGCATAAACATCCTGAAGGAAGCTGGAATTACGATAGAAATTGTGTAGATATTATCTAAAGTGATTACTGTTACATTTCAGATGTTTCAGTACTAATGAAAGCCATTCAGTATATCAGAAGGTATATTGGAAGAATTACTGGCGACATGAATATGCTCTAAATACTCTAAATTGTAGGAAATCTACCGTTTAGTACTTCATAGTATTCAACCCATGATCTAGTGCCCATCTGCACTGCTAATCTCCCGACTAAAGACCGGGAACCAATTCCTTCCAAGAAAGCATGGCTAGAGCATATAATCATTCCCTTCTTGCATCGTGTCAATATAACATTAACATGGTGTTCATTTACCAGAAAACCGAGCTTCTTAGACTGTACAATGGAAACAATGATATAGTCATCCTCATTTCCTGAAAAATATGAGTTTCATTTGATACTAATAACCGTGTACAACATATCCTGAAAGGAGTCGACATTGTAACATTTATCCTTCCAAGACAGCATAGCATCTTTTAGCACATTCTCGATGGCGGACCTCTATGAGTCATATGGCATTATCACCTTGAATGACTTGCCGCGGTCCTGCATTATTTTTGCAATCTTGACCACAGCTTGAATTTCCTTCTTGTTCTGAACTCAAGTGTGAATGAGTCAAACCGATTGTGTTAAGGCGAAGACTCACAATCCAACTTTTACTTCTTTCCCCTTCCTGTCCATCCGATACATTGACAAAATGGCAGCAGGTCTTCGATGATATATCATGGACCATTTTGAGCTGCTTGTCATAGACATATTCAGATATAAACTCCCTGATTTGCCTAGGTATACGATCTGTGACCATGTGGGCAGTCGTAGCATATACGAGCAAATAAATTCACTCACACTGGGTGTCAAGCATGTGCATTTTCTGACCAAGGTGTTGCTTTTTGAAGACACTCTCCAAGTCTGGAATGTCACTGTGACCATAGGGTGGCACTGCAAGTTCTGAGATAATGGCAAACTGATAAAAAAGACTGGTAAACTGTAACCCGGATGCTGGTTACATTGGCTATTCCCGATGTGACATAGATACGAGGGATTGCCAGGTCATATCTCTTTAGTTTACCACCACCATCTGTACCGTCGTCTCATGAATACCAAGCTGGTTCCTTGCACATCTGTGTGAATGAGTTCTTCAGTGTAGCTCCATGGCTACAAGCTTCCACTTTTTTTTGCAATCCAACTTGCTCTCTTCTTTCGCTTTCATTCCCACACTGGACCCTGCCATGTCATCACACTGTTTCACGTGCCGTACCATGCAGCAGTACCACCTACCCATCTTGGAAGCCTTGGACAATCCAGACTTACATCAACAACCCGACAAACACACTACAGACCCTTGTCTATCTCCCGTTCCCAACTGTTCATTGTCATCATTGACTGAACTTGATTCTTCTTGCTCACCTAGCCCTCAACCAATGTCTTCGAAATTAGATCTCCCTACCCTCGCCAATGTCACCTCAATTGCTGCACTCACATGGCTGACTCACTGTGCAGACTCCTTTGAGGCCTGGTCTGCTCTCAATGCTGATAAGAAGATCAAACCCGAGATGCAAATACTAGTTGCTGGATTGAAGATGGAACATGCTGAGGCCGCTGCTTGGTGGAATGAGAACTGGGAGTCATTAAAGAAGCTGGCATCATGGGATGAGTTTGTCACAAAGGTGAAGGATCATTTTGTCCCCTCCAACTGGCGTTTGGATGCACTTGCTGCCTTCTACTCGGTAAAGCATGCACCTGGGACGGACTTCCAGTCTTTTGTGTCAGACCTCCAAACTGTGCGGAATGCCCTCACGTCTGCTGGCACTGGCTACACCATCACTGACTCTTCTGTCAAAAATCATCTGTTATTCTTCATGCATCCCATTTTATCCCTTCGCGTCCACAGTACTACGGGTTTTGCGTCAGTCTATGGAACCATGAAGCTTGATGCCTTGGTCAATCTGATGTCTACAACTTGGGTGAGCCTAATTGCAGAGAACGTTGTTCGAATCAAGAATGTTCAGACTAGTGACCAATCCCAAGCCATTCCGACTGCCCACATCACTTCTACCCATCCCACAGCATCTATGGCTGTGTCAAACGGCTCACATTACCCTTTTCCGGATCTTTCCTATGCCGAGAAAGAGGCTCTTCAGGCTTCTGGAGGTTGTTTCCATTGCAGGAAGACCCCATCTTTGCCGAACTGGACGCAGCACAGCGCACATAACTGCCCTGGAGATTCAGCTGCCGGTGTCGCTCCATGAGCCACCTGCCCTCTACTCCCTCACCAACAAGTAGCTGGAATTACTTTTGGGGATGCTGAGATCCTGGAAATGCCAGGCTCCTTTGTATTAGATGGACCCGACTCTTCGGACTCAGACTATGACACCGACCATGACTTTGACTAAAGATTTCCCTCACTACCCGTTGTCTTTTGCATCACTTTTGTACTCGCTTTTCTTTGATTGCTATTGTCTTCAGCCATGTTGCAATATTTTGGTCACTTCTGTCCTTATGTTCACACCCATGAAAGATAATACTTTCCTTGTTCGTTTTGTCCGTGACAATGGTCTTCATGTTCCAGCATTCCTTTTTCTTTATGTTTCTTTCTACTTGGACTAGTACGTTTGTTTTTTTTTAGAGTGGGGAGGAGTGTAACCCGGATGCCGGTTACATCGGCTATTCTTGATGTGACATAGATACGAGGGATTGCCAGGTGTTAGGATCGTGCCAATAGGATTGCGGCAGTAAGTGCACGTAGCGGAATGCCGTGGGATGCGTCGGGTGTAGGCAAAGCTATTAGCAATGTCACCCCTGAGCCGAAGCCCTAAGATGGATACAGACGGAAGTCCACAGAGTGGCAGAGACGAGGTAAAAGATAAGTCCAACGGATCGGAGTTCCGCAGACTGGAGAACGAGAGTTAGACTTAGAGTCAGAGAGAGAGAGAGATTGGGCTGAACCAAGTTGATATTCGAACTGAGTATCTACAGTGTAATTCTAAGGCTTATATACTAGTTAGGAGTCCTGATCTAGTTCCTACTTGGAGTGGTCTACATTCTAGGGTTGTCGGAGGATGTATTCTACCGGTCAGTAGCCGATGGGGTCCAATGACATGTTCGCTACCGATGTCAGGCTATTGATAAATTGTAATGGAGAAGTGAAATATAAAATGGAATATGAAATGGAATATGAAATAGAAACTGGGAATCGGAATCCGTAGGATTCCAGGCTGTGGTTTGTTGGGTTGAGTGGAAGTCGGGTTTCCATCGGCATGCTCGTTACAGTATCCCCCCCTTAGCGTTCTTGCCCTCAAGGATGCAGATCCCGATGGCCGAGTGTGACCGTGTGGAATTTTTTCAGGTTGGTCACATGGCTTTTCACCTCTTAGCTTTCTACCACCACCATCTCTTCCATTTTCTGAGTTTTGTCCTCGTCGTTGGCCATGGTGTCCACTGTTGAATACCGTGCTTCCGTGACGCCCGAACCGTACGAACCTGCCCTGATGCCCAAAGATATTCGGCCTGAAGACCTAGAGGCCTTTTATGACGAGCGGGATGCCACGGAGAAGGCTAGGGAGGATGCCATGGAGGCCCATGAGGCTTGGAGGGTGCAGAAGCAAAAGGAGGAAAAGAGGCAGGCTCTGGAGTTAGAACGGCGAGAGAAAAAGTTGGCGCAGGAAAGGAAGGTTGTGGAAGCCAAAGCAAGGAAGGAGAGGGAGGAGCGGGAGGCCATGGACAGGAAACGGCAAGAGGAGGCAGAGGCAAAGGCAAGGGCGGAGGCGGCTGCCGCAGGAGCAGCGGAGGTTGGAAGAGGAGGCAAGGGCCTTGGAGGAACGGAGAGCCGTGGAGAAGAAGAAGTTAGAAGGTGAGGCCAAGGCAAAGGCTTTGGTGGAAGCTAGCAAGGCCGTGGAGGCGGAGAAGGAGAGGGAGAAGTTAGATGGGAATGAGGGGAGCAAGGTTGGTAGCAGGTCCGACAGAGATGACGAGCAGGAGAAGGACCCGAAGGGGAAGGCACTGAAAAAATTGGTAAAGCAGAGGAAGGATAGGAAGGGTAAGGGTAAGGCAATGGATTCGGAGGCCATGGGGAATTCAAAGAAGAGGAAGGCCAAGTCCAGTGCGGTGGTATTGAGTGGAGAGGAGGAAGTCGCAGGGCCGTCGGGGCAGCCGTTGAAGAAGTTGAAGACCGAGCCTGAGATGCAGGCAGATGACGAGGAATATAAGGATAATGGTAAGCCTCCCCGCGGGTTCCGACTAATTTGCTGACTTGGTGCATAGAGCATTGTGGACGTTGTAAGACAGACAACGTAAAATGTTTCATTCGCCGTGGGCGTACTTGCGAATGGTGCAAATTAAAGAAGAACAAGTGTGTGTTTCCACAAAGTGAAGGTTCGGGATCCGCGGGTTCCAGTGAGGTCATTGACCTCCTACAAAAACTTTGTGACAAGATGGACGATTTCCAGGAAGGCTTGGAAAGGGTAGAGGGAAAGGTGGATTTCCTTGGAAGCCGCGTCGATGACTTGGTCGACGATTTTCATGAGGATGATGCTCTGGAGTGGCCTGTCAGATTTCGTCGAGGAGGAGTTTAGGGAGGAATGGGCAGCATCGAAGGTCGAGCTCGGAAACCTCAAGAATGTGAACTCGGAGGCCCTACGGATCACGATGCATATGCGACTTGACAAGGACGTTGCCCAGTTGTGGAATGCCCACGTGATGGGTACCGAAACCCTCGATGCCGCGGATCCCTTTGAGGTTCGCCAACATGCAAGTTTGGTACAGCTGCCTTGGGAAAGACGGTCTTCAATTGGCCATCAAACATCGTGACCATTTCTTGGACACAAGGGACCAGTTCTATGCACTCGGAGGCCATTGGATTGAGTGGGCATTGTGGAAGAGGTATTTGGAGGATGCAGATGAGTTTTTGGTAGAGGATTCCAAAGGGGAATTGGATCCCGAGGAGAAGAAGAGGGATGAGATGTGCCCGGGCATGGGTGCCATCGGCGTTCCAGCACTGGATGAGCTGGAGCTTCTTGTTATGAGTGATGAGGAGGAGGAAGGAAGTGGAAGGGAAGATAGGGTGGACGAGGATGTGGTGATGGGAGAGTTGGTGCACGCGGAATCCTAGGCGCCCTTCTTGGACTTGTATATATTTTTTGGATGTTGTCTTGTACATGGATTTTGAAGCACGGGCCCTGATGGGCATAAATATATATATATATATATCTTGGCTTGTAGGCTTGAGTGAGTAAGAGGAAGAAGGAAAGCAAGAAATAGGCGCCTGATGGGCTCTGTTCCCAATTAGGAAGGTAATTTGCAATAGTTTTCCAGGATTTGATTTGAAATTCGGAGAGCGGAGACCGTAGGGAGCCGATAAGTTATGAGTAGGTCAAGAAGCAATGGGCAAGGGTTTGAGGGAGACTTTGCGGATGGTGACTTTGGATAGCGGTCCTGGTTTGTCTGGGTAACGTTGGTGGAAGTCTTTTATATATTCGTCCATGGAGAATTCTGTAGCGGGGATCCAGGCAAACTCTTCATCGGTACCTTCATAACCCAACCATTGGACTCGGTATAGGAGTGGACAGTGGAACCTGACAGTTGAGTTTAGAGTCGAGGATTTGAGAGATCTCATACTGTTCTTCACCGTCGACTTCAACTGGAGGTGGTGGAGGTTGGGTACAGGTTAGGGATAGTATTGGTCTCCATGGGTTCAAGTTGGGAGACATGGAACACAGGGTGAATGGAGCGGAGGTCCGACGGGAGTTTGAGAGTGAACGAGTGGGATCCTGGCTGAGCAATGATATCGAATGGTCCTAGGAATTTTTCAGCAAATTTCGCAGTAGGGTGAGTAGTTCTGATATGTTTGGAACTGAGGTAGACTTTGTCACCTACTTTGAAGTCAGGAGCCGGGGACCGCCGCTTGTCCGCTTGTAATTTGTAACAGGACTGAGCATAAGTGATTTCATCTTGAAGGAATTGGTGGAGTTCGTCGAGGTTAATGATGAAGTCATGGGCCCGAGCAGAGGCGATGTCGCGTTCAGGATGTATGGTGATATTGGGATGATAGCCTTTGTTAGCAAAGAATGGAGAGATTCCGGTGGAAGTGTTGGGAGCGTTGTTGTAAGCAAACTCAGCAATGGGTAGTAAGGTATCCCAATTGTCTTGTTGATAGGAGCAGTAGATGCGGATGTACTGTTCCAGAGTTTGGTTAGTGCATTCAGTTTGTCTGTCAGCCTCCGGGTGATATCCAGAAGTGAAGTGAAGCTCCATATCCAAGGCTTTGGCAAGAGCGCGAGTGAACTGGGAGACAAATTCAGAGCCGTGGTCAGAGGTTATATGATTGGGGACACCATGTTTTGCGAACACATGGTTAACGAATAACCAAGCAAGCTCTTCGGAGTTGATGGTATTGTGGGTAGGAATGAAAATTGCTTGCTTACTTGCATGGTCGACCACTACAAGGATAGCAGTGAATCCGTTGGAATCTGGTAATTGTTCGATGAAGTCCATGGAGATGGAATCCCACGGGCATTCTGGGACCAGCAATGGTTTGAGTAGGCCAAAAGGCCGGTGTCTAGGTGTTTTGTTACATCCACAGGTAGTGCAAGATTTAACATAGTGGCGAACGTATTCACGCATCTGTGGCCAGGTGTAATTCTGTCAGACAAGTTTGAGAGTCCGATTTTGACCAAAATGACCTGCCAAGATGTGGTCGTGATTGTTTTGGAGAACGCGAAGACAGAGATCATCGGTGTCCAGGACATAAATGCGACTGTCAAGACGTAGTAGTCCTGATTCGTCCATGGACCACCGAGAGGAGTTGGAAGGGGAAGATGCGAGTCGGAAGCCTTCGGTGGCAGTGGAATCCAATGGCTGTGCATTCTTGATATCAGAGTGGAGCTTGTCGATGTCCATGATAGCACTAGCGTGTAAGACCGGACCTTCAAGGAATGTAGCATGGAGTGAAGCGGAGAGTTGTTCTTGAGTGAAAACAGGGTCAGAAATTGTGAGGGTTGACTTGAGCATATTGACTATCCCCCTCTTTAGGGTAGACGTCCCATCGTCTAGTGAGGGCATCCGGTTTCCCACCAAGTTTACCCGGTCGGAACCGAATAACAAGGTTGAATTGAGAGAGGAATTCGGACCAGCGTACTTGACGTTGAGTAAGGACCTTGGTAGTAGAGAAATACTCAAGGTTCTTGTGATCTGTAATGACGTCAATGGCTTCTGCAGAGCCTTCAAGGTAGTGGTGCCAGTATTTGAAAGCTTCGAAGATGGCTAGAAGCTCTTTATCATGCATATCGTAGTTGAGTTCGGCACCATGGAGACTCCAGGACAAGAAGGAGATTGGATGGATCTCACCATCCTCTAGGTAAATGGATAGGATGGCGACAATAGCGTAGTCAGACACGTCAGTTTCCACAACCAGTTGGCGGTCGGGAAGCCAGTGGGTGAGGATAGGAGCATGAGTAAAAGCCTGCTTCAACTCATTGAAAGCGGATAGGCATTCTTCGTCAAATTTCCACAGAGTTCCTTTGCGAGTGAGTCATGTTAAGGGCAGGACGA